TGTTTGGTTCAGTTCAATCGAACTCAAGTTTGTTTGCCCCCTAAGTGCGCTTTGTTTGGGCAGGTGTGAACACAGCAATCGCAACCAGACCAAGATCTTCTTGAAGGTGGTTTCGGTTCGGTTCCAAATGAACTCTGGTGCGGTTAATTTGTGATGAGAACGTGTTCCGACCTCGATCTGAACCAACTGCAGTCACATGACACATTGTTTGGGTTAAACATGAGCATGTTACAGTCCTGGAGGATTATTAATGTGCACCTCCTCCTGTACTGCCTTAATATGCACATTCAGCACATCCAATGCATCAAAACATTTGTTTCTAGTTGGAGCCGCGCCTCGTTTTCAAACTGTATGGTTTGACTAAAATGAACAATGACAGCAATATAGTCCACGATGACCAGCGCTAAAATCAACCTGCGTAGTTGTCCCTCCATTGTGACATTAGAAAGTGTCACATTTATCTTGCAAGTGTACTCTTCTCCAACGTTTTGTTTACTTCCTGGATTTTTCCCGCATGGAAATTCTGACCAATCAAGAGCAGCTTTTTCACGTAAGGCATTTTATCCAGTCACGAAGAGAACACGAACCAACTCTAGGCAATTATGCAACATTGTAACAAAATTAGTCCCTGATTCGGACCAAAGCAAGACAACTCTAGGTCTGAACGCACCCTAACTGTCAACCACCAAACAGCAGACAGACACAGTTAGCAACTAGCTGGTGAAAGTAATGGAGCAGTCAGCAACAAAAGAGCCAGATATTTCGCGCAGGAGTTGGTAGAGACTAAGAAAAGCTAAAAGAGTGAAAACTGGACTTACATCCACCACGTGGCCAAAACACAACTCAGAATGAGCGGTAATGTTGCTCTGTTACTGCTAGGTGTGTAAATAAGGAACTAACAAGTTCACCATTTTAATTTAAAGATAATCATATGTCAATGATCACACTTTATTTCTGCTGCCCCCAAGAGGCCAAAAAACTGTTATTGTAGGTTTTACAGGACCAATTTGTACAAAGTCTGCATGTCTTGAAGATGACAGTAATGAAGTTGGATCTTAAAGTCCCTAACAGATGGGGACATACATGATTCTAGGGATCAATGAGTGAATCGCTGACTATTGATCGGTCATTATATCTGCTTTTTATGTTTAATGAACCTGATGCACCGTTCATTTTATTTATTTTGAGCAATTGTACAGTGCCATCCAAAAGTATTGGAACAGTGAGGCCAATTCCTTTATTTTTGTTGTAGACTGAAAATATTTGGGTTTGACATCAAAAGATGAATATGGGACAAGAGATCAACATTTCAGCTTTCATTTCCAGGTATTTACATCTGGATCTGATACACAACTTAGAAGATAGCACCTTTTGTTTGAACCCACCCATTTTTCATGAGAGCAAAAGTATTGGAACGTGTGACTGACAGGTGTGTTTTATTGCCCAGGTGTTTCCCAATTACATTGATTATTCAAACAATAAATAGCACTGAATGTCTGAGCTCAGTTTCAGATTGGGTACGATAGGTTTTGCCTGTGCAGACTGCATTTAGAGGTGGAACCAACATGAAAACTGAGAGCTGTCTATGGGTGAAAAAGAAGCAATTGTGAATCTGAGAGAAGATGGACAATCAATCAGAGCCATTGCACAAACATTGGCCATAGCCAGTACAACCATTTGGAATGTCCTGAAGAAGAAAGAAACCACTGGTGTACTAAGCAACAGACATCTAACAGGTAGACCAAGGAAAACATCAGCAGTTGATGACAGAAACATTGTGAGAGCTGTCAAGAAAGACCCTAAAACAACTGTTAGTGACATCAGCAACAACCTCCAGAGGGCAGGAGTGAAGGTATCACAATCTACTGTTCGCAGAAGACTTCATGAACAAAGTACAGAGGCTACACCAGAAGATGCAAACCACTCATTAGCAAGAAGAATAGGAAGGCCAGGCTGGAATTTGCCAAAAGGTACAGAGATGAGCCTCAAAAATTCTGGGAAAAAGTTTTATGGACTGATGAGACAAAGGTTAACTTTTTCCAAAGTGATGAAAAGGTGAAAGTTTGGAGAAAGAAAGGATCTGCTCATGATCCCAAACATACAAGCTCATCTGTGAAACACGGTGGAGGTAATGTCATGGCTTGGGCTTGCATGGCTTCTTCTGGGACAGGCTCTTTCATCTTCATTGATGATGTAACACATGATGGCAGCAGCAAAATGAACTCACAAGTCTACAGAAACATTTGTCTGCTAATTTAAAGAAAGATGCAACCAAACTGATTGGGAGATCCTTCATCATGCAGCAAGATAACGACCCAAAACACACTGCCAAAACAACAAAGGAGTTCATCAGGGGCAAGAAGTGGAAGGTTTTAGACTGGCCAAGTCAGTCTCCAGACTTAAACCCAATAGAGCATGCATTTTACCTGCTGAAGAGGAGACTGAAGGGAGTAACCCCCCAAAACAAACAACAACTGAAAGAGGCTGCGGTGAAAGCCTGGAAAAGCATCACAAAAGAAGAATGCAAAAGTTTGGTGATGTCAATGGGTCACAGGCTTGATGCAGTTATTGAAAGCAAAGGATTTGCAACTAAATATTAAGTCTCATTCACTTTAATCTATTTTAAGTTTATATGTTCCAATACTTTTGCTCACCTAAAAATTTTGTGTTCCATTACAAATAATGCTATCTTCTAAGTTGTGTATCAGATCCAGATGTAAATACCTGGAAATAAAAGCTGAAATGTTGATCTCTTGTCCCATATTCATCTTTTAATGTCAAACCCAAATATTTTCAGTCTACAACAAAAATAAAGGAATTGGCCTCACTGTTCCAATACTTTTGGAGGGCACTGTATGTCACATTGCCTATAATGGTCTGATGATGCCTACTGTGGTTGTGCTTCATCTTGAATTTAAAAAGTTCATCATTATGGTTATGACTGTTTTCATGCACCCTCCAGCACTTGATGCCTTATGCACATGTACATTGTGGCAATAGGCCTGTCACAATAACTACTATTGTTGGATCATATGTTGCTTCAGAAATGACTATGATACATTACATTACATTACATTACTGTCCTTTTCTGTGTAAGAGTGTGTGAGCATGTGTGGAAGAGCTGCCTGAGCCTCGTCCACAGTGAAACTCCAACACAGCAACAGACAAGAGGACAAAAGCAGCGTATCCAGAAACCACAACAAAATGTGTCAGCGTAGATTTTTTTTGTCTGTTCATTCGATTTAGGCACTGTGAAAAACAAACAAACGCTGTGCCCAAGTCTTATATTGGTTGGGAAAAGCCTGCTGTTTACTCTGTCATCATTCATTCATTTTCCGTAACTTCTTATCCTGTGAGGGGTCGGAGGTTGCTGGAGCCTATCCCAGATGACATTGGGCGAGAGGCAGGGTACACCCTGGACAGGTCACCAGACTATCACAGGGCTGACACATAGAGACAAACAACCATTCACACTCACATTCACACCTACGGACAATTTAGAGTCACCAGTTAACCTGCATGTCTTTGGACTGTGGGAGGAAGCTGGAGTACCTGGGGAGAACACGCAAACTCCACACAGAAGGGTTCTCCCACCCCGGGCTTGAACAAGGAATCCTCTTGCTTTGAGGCAACAATGCTAACCACTGCACCACCGTGCCGTCAGCGTAGATTTTTTTCTGTTCATTCAGATAAGGCGCTGTCTTGGAGTGGTCGGGAAAAGCCTGCTGTTCGCTCTGAGATCATGTTGACTAAAATGTTGGTGACATTCTTATGTAAATTAACATGCATGTTAACACAAGGATAATATTATAAGATAAATGGACATGACTTCGATCATTTCTGCTGACCTTGAGAGGATGACAGCATAATTACCGTGACGTTGTTAGCAAAGACGAAGATCAACAGAGAAAAAGAGGAGAATATGTGCAAAAGACATTTGGTGAAATAAACAGAGGGTTTAAAGTTACACCGAAGTACTTGCTCTCACAAGAATATAAATGATGATATAATCTCTGCTGATCTGACGATCATGATCTGTTTCATGGTTACAGTAAATCATTCACAGCAGATAAACAATCTCTGAGTATTCAGGTTCATAAAACAGTTTTTCTCCTGCAGGTAAAAATAAACACAGAACCACGAGGACATATAAAGAAGCAGATTTAAGATACTGATAACACACAGAGAAGAAGACATATGCACAATGAATGTCAACGAGGCAGATCAGGCACTCTCAAATGGTTATGATATAGATTTATGTGTTCTGACATCCCACAGATGGTGTGAATTAGTCAGGGAGGGGGTGCCAATGCGAGGTCAAGAGAGATGACCTGGCCTTCAGCCTGCCACTTGGGAAACCAAAGCAACAGACATGTGAAGCTGCTGCTGCAGTGCAACAACCCGGAGGCTGCTACAGCAGCTGTTATTGAAGGTACAGAAGAGAAAGTGCTCCCGTAAACTGCCCTAATCTCATCATCCTGAGAGATAAACAGCAGTGAAAGGAGCCACAGCAGCACAAACTGCAGAGGAGCAGGCTGGCTGATAGAAAAGCTACATTGATTTCGACAAAGAGCAGAGAAAGAATTTTGTAAATATGAAGACACGCAAACCAGACCAAATGGGTTTCTAAACGTGTAATGATTGATTTTTTTTTTCATTGCCTGCAGATTTTGCATTTGAGAATAGTTTCCTATTAGCCTTTACTTACTGGTAATATGAAAGTAGATATAATTATTCAAAGGTAAAGAGTAAAGGGCTTCAGCAGTCGTTTCTGTGTACCTTGAAGAACGAGCCAAAAGCTAACGAGAGATACTTAATGTTCCATAAACCAACAAAGACGCACAGAGGATTAGCAGATTGCCTGAGGAGACAGTTACCATATGTCTGACTGAATGAGAGATGGAAATATAGACTTAAAGTGGAGTGGGAGCTGCAAAAAAAAGGAAGAAATGGTATAATGTACATACAGTAAATATGAAGAGAGAAAGAGAGAGGCTCACCTGATTGATGTGTTTCAGCTTGTCAATGATCTGATTGATTACAGGATCTGCTCCCTTCACTTTGACTTCAGGGTTGGCACTCTGAGCCTTGATCCCGTTGCCAACCACACGGAGGGTGTAGCTGTGAACAAAATACAAGACACAGAGAGAGGTTTGTAAGTGTTTTCATATTTCCATCAGTCCTGTTACAACATGAGAACCACTGGTGGCTAGTTAGAGGTACATAACGCAGACATACCATAATTAAGTATAATTCTGAGCCACGCGTACTTTACTTGAGTGAGTATGTTTTACTCCACTACATTTATTTGACAGGAGTAGGTACTTGTTTTTCTCCACATTAAGATCATAAGCACACAATGCATTGTTAAGGGAGCAGTGTGTAAGATTTAAGGCAGCAGTCAGTAATCTTCACTATTAAAAGACACATTTTTTGCCAAAAAAAACAGCATCACTCTGCAGGTGCAAAACATTTGAGCCTTATAGTGAAGGCAACACAGCCTATCACCATTAATAATTAGTCCATACCCATTAAGTGCACAGTTGCCCACGTACAGTTTCACATGGTGTGTGTTTGGGATACAGGTCATTATGAAATATTACGAAAATATTTTTTTTTATTTGGTGTATAGGCTACACATTTTTACAGGTGGCTACTGTAAGAATCATTTTACGTTAATGTTAAATGTTAAAAAAATAACCATATCCACTGGAGAGTGGCTGAAGAGCTGAATGTGGCTCCAGAGTGATGACATTTAAAAGCAGTGAGCTCATCTGCGGATAAAGTCCCTTGCTATTTTGCTGCAAGTGTTTTTATGTAAATCACTCAGCAGGGCAGGTGAAAGAAGACTACCCGTTGGAGGTGAGCTGTTTGCAGAGGTGTCTGCAGCTCTTCATAAACATCTCACTGTGGTGGTTTCTGCTTTTATTTTCCTCCCTGCTGTATTAACAGACTTGTTTTTATTGAAGCAAAGCAGCTATAAAGTTCCTTTAGTTTGGTGACAAACACATTTAATTTCCTTTAAATTCTTCACTGTAAATTCCCCCATTATTTTGTTATTTAAAGGCTTTTATTGTGAAGCAGCAAAATAAGGAAATGTTGGGTTTTCATCAGCAGTAACTTAACAACTCCTATACAGCTGGGAGTGAACATGAAACACTAAAATAGAGCAAATATGTAAAATCAGGACACAGGAGAGAAACTAAACTCCGAAGCACAGAAATTCAGCTACAACAGTACTCGGAGCTGAACACACAGAGACTTTTAAAAATGCTGTGACACATGCTTGTTTCAGGGGGAGAAGGGAGTCCGTTATGTTGCATGTTAAAACTGACGAAGGAAACGCAAATCAACGCGGCATGATTTGACTCGGGAAAGGATATAACCCCTTTTCTAGTCCTCCGACCACTCAAAGCGCTTTTTACACTATGAGTCACATTCACATACACATTCATACACTGGTGGCCAAGGCTACCATACAAAGAGCCACCTACTTTTTTTAAACACACTCACACACTGATGGAACAGCCATCGGGAGCTATTTGGGGTTCAGTATCTTGCTCAAGGTTACTTCAACATGTGGAATGGAGGAGCCAGGGACTGAACCGCCGATCTTTTGATTAGTGAACAACCTACTCTGCCTCCTGAGCAACAGTAAAATCCTACTTACACTGAAGCAATAGTATCTGCAGAAAGAGCAGAGAGAGTTTTTACTTTTAATACATTTAATTTATATTTAATTAATTTATACATTTTTTTAATTTATTTCAATTTAACTTAATTTTTTTGATGCAGGATATTTGCTTGTGATGGAATATTTTTACATCGCAGTATTGGTACTTCTAAGAAATAGAGTACTTCTTTCACCCCTGAGAAATACAAAGGTGATGTGTTGGAAAAGCAAAGATGACACTGAATAAAGTCCAATACATTATCAGTTTGCACTTGTGGAGCAATACTAAAGAATGATCGATATTCTGAACTCACACATGGTGATGGTATAATTCATCTGTAGGCACACCCCTGCGGTTACAGTGGGATTTGTGATGTGGGGGTGAAACATGATTCACCTGCACATGTGCGCATGAGCAGCCATGTGTCTCTGCTGCAGTGCTGCAAGGCTTCATATCACAGTACATGTACGCTTTATGAAAAACCATATATCAAGCACTTTATCATCTCTCTTTGATATGAAACTATTAAACCGCAGTGTGTGAGTACAGTACACTCAACTATTAATTTATGATTTGTGCTTTAACGTTTCAATATGCGGCATTAATCCTTGTTCTGAAGCAGTTCATTGTTGTTATAGCTCGGTAACAGGCTTCAGTTCACCTCAAGGACTCCTCACTCTTTAGTTTGAATACAGTCTGTCACCTGTAATGACTTTGACCATGGCAGCCGGTGAGTGAGCACAATTCACTCACATCTCAATCTCCAGCATATCATTTAATCAAACTAGTAGATCAAGGTGAAGTCACTCATTGCTGAAAGACCTACTGAGCGCTATGTGTGTGTACGTGGGTATGTGTGTGTGTCAGACGCAGCAGACCACAGAGGTGTCAGCCCAGTGCCTCTTTGAATTTAAATATCTGGATCAGAGAATTAGAAATAAAACATAAAAAACTATCAGTGGCTTAAATGACCGGTGGGTGGTTGTGTGGCAGCTCACACAAATTGGTGTGTGCTCTTCAAGCAAAACAAGGTCAGAAAGACATAAAAAGTATGAATAAATAAAGTGCAGGAAGCACGGTGTCTAATTTATTTAAAAGAAAAGGTGCATGGCAGAATTCAAATTCAGTCCTGATGTCTGGGTCCTTGAGATGTAATTTTGATGTAAATTCCTGCACGTCATAATGCCTCCAAGTGATTAGTTTTGGAAAAATACAGCTGCCATTCAGTGTCCTTTTTGAAATTTTTATCAGCTAGTAGTCTGTTATCACCATTATTTTTCTTATTCGGCTCTTTCTTCTCTTTCTATGTGGCCTCTGTGCTCTCCGTCTCTGCCGTGGCTGCTGTTGTTCTTCTGGCAGCTGCGTCAAATGAAATATTAAACTGAACATTTAAAATCTGTCTACAACAAAAGTGCTTTGGTAATTTGGAGAGCAGATGCACATTGCCAAAATGTGTTTATAAAAACGCTTTTGTTCCCGCAGATTTATACAAAATAAAAAAAACACAATCTTTTGAGACATTATTGAAGTTTCTTTTCCGCATCATTTGGGATAGAGTTTGCTCCATCATGTGACTCATCATGTCATTTTCCTTTAAATTTACTTTTAACATCAAATGGTAAAAGAATAAATGTGTTCCATGTGCAAAAGGTGACACAATGCAACAAAAAAGTGACAAAGGTGAAAAGACCATTGTATGTAATCTTATCCCTTATCACATGAACTCATCAGCAAACATCTTTTGCACATGGAATAAATACATTCTTTTTGTATCTGAAGAGTCTCTTCATTACCTCCGCCAAGGAGGTTATGTTTTCGCCGGCGTTGGTCTGTTTGTCTGTTTGTTTGTCTGCCAAATAACTCATAAAGTTATGAACAGATTTTGATGAAATTTTCAGGAAAGGTGGATAATAGGACAAGGATTCAAATAAACACAAGAAGTTTGTGCTCTAAAAAAAAAAAAAAAAAAAAGGGATCAGCACTCAGTGAATAATCCTCCTAAGCCCTACGATAAGCTATTATGGCAAGGCTTAACTATACAGACCCGTGAGCAGTGATAACTAACATGTCTTTGGGGTCATCGGGTGGGAACCTCCTTTCACCGGTGTTTCGTCTAGTTAGTCCCACGACACCTCCAGGAGGCTAGACAGTGATCTCTGGCGTCCCAGAGACACTCCCCTAATGCCAGGTCTCACTGCTCCCCACACTAACCGAACAACCTCCTTTACCTTACCTATACTACCACAGAGGAGGTAGACCCAGGGAAGGAAGCCTTGTTAGGCTATCACACTCCCCCGCCGGGTTAGGCTGTACAGTCTACCTCCCCAGGACGAGCCCTCACAACAATGACACCTCCAGGAGGCTGGACAGTGATCTCAGCCCAAACAGCACTGCCAACTTCAACCAAGCCCAGGCTCCGTTTATGCGAGCTCCAGGCAGAAGCAATGCTGATACTACCTTTACTAGCACATTCACCATACTCTATTTCACACGCTACATAGCATAACTACAATGTAAGCTAAAGTTAAAGGAGATAAATGAACTCACAGGATCAGCAAACACACTCACTTTGCAGCATGGTCTCAAACAAAATGGATTCAAATAGGCCACTCCCACACTTAAATAACCTTCCTCTTCCTGGATTTCCTTCTTACTTACACATGGCTTTCTCAGCCCAAACAGCACTGCCATCTTCAACCAAACCCAGGCTCCATACATGCGAGCTCCAGGCAGAAGCAATGCTGATACTAGCTTTCCTGTCACATTCACCATACTCTATTTCACACACTACATAGCATAACTACAATATAAGCTAAAGTTAAAGGAGCTAACTGGACTTACAGGATCAGCAAGCACACTCACCTTGCCGCATGGCCTCAAACAAAATGGATTCCAATAGGCCACTCCCACACTTAAATACTTCCTCTTCCTGGATTTCTCCTGACAGGAAGTGGATCTCTCCACCTGATCTCAAGGAGTTATGTGCCCTGCTTAGTAGTTCCCCCTGCTGGCCCCCAGCTGACATTATTTCTTCTGTAATAGATAAACTGGCTGCATTTAATTGCTTCATCTGACATTTCCCTCACTGTCTTCCTCAAATTCTGTCCCCGCACTCCGAGTTCCCCCAGGAGTGAGACAGTTGATCTTGCTATGAATCCCCTACACCCCACTTCCACTGGACAAATCCTAGTCTTCCATCCTCGCTGCTCAGCTTCTGCTCCTAAGTCTGCATATCTAAGCTTTTTTCTTTCATAGGCTTCTTCCACTGAGTCTTCCCAAGGAACTGTCAGCTCAATGAAATAAACTATCTGTTGACTCACTGACCACAACACTAAGTCAGGCCTCTGCCTGGTACAGACTATTTCCTGAGGAACAACAAGCTTTCCCCCTAAATCTACTTGCATTTCCCAATCACAAGCACCTTCTAGGCGGCCACACCCTTGCCTC